AAAGGGTAATTTAGCAATATTTTATACCATTTAGGCTCTCTTCTCTTGTGTATTTCTTCAATATCTTGAGCTAGTGAGATTTCCAATGCATTATGTATAAGTTGTTTTCTTATAAGGTCGCTAATTTCTGAATTTTCTAGTATTGGAGATATAGAAACTCCGTATTCATTGATTATGTTCTTCATTTGACTAATCCAGGTATTTTTTTGGGGTTTTTGACACATTTTTTTATACAGCAAATATAATAGTTTTGTTGGAAGGTTGTTATTGTCAACATATATATATATTATATATAACATATATATATTTAAAATAAAAAATATTTAATATATCAGTGGTGTGCAGTCCATGGAAGCTATGGTAGTGCTGCTTCTCTTGTATTTAAAAAAAATATATATAATACATATTGTGCGATTATTTTCATATTTTAACGTACTTTGAATTACTTAAAATTTATATTTTATTATAACCGCATTATGTATTTTATTACAAATTTCTATACATGTGAAAAACAATAAGATTGATATTGTATATCCGAATATAAATTCGTTTATGCAATGAAAGCGCTTGTATTGTCGAGTACAACACAGGACAGCTTCCACGGCGAAAAGATTTGAATCCAGACTATATTGACAAATCACTCTTCGACATAAAAAAAAATATTATGATTAATGACGATCTGAACAAAAATGTACTAAAAGGATTATATGATTTAATATTAATTTTTACAGTACCATCTACGAGTGGGTCTCGCAAGTAGTTGAAAAACAGCGCTTACTCTATGAGTGAGCGTAGTTTTCAACTGTGAAGCGAATTGATACATTCGCAAGGAACACTCAGTCAGAGGAAAGATTGTCGTCACTAGAGTTGCGTTGAATAGAAAAAGGGCTTTTAAATACTTTGATGGAATGAACGACGAGCGATTTTTATGATAAAGTAATTAACGACTTCGCGGGAAAAAAAATCGCCGATTAGAGTTAGATTATAAAAGTTAATAAAAATAAGTTCTTATATCTTTGTTTCGTGTCAATTATCTAATTTAGAATTAAAATAAATAAATTGTTTATTTTAGTCATTTCCAGTAGACTATTTGTTTAAAATTTTTATGGAAACACAGTTCTTTAGATTCGTGGCATCATCAAATGTATATTGATATATATTGAAAATTTGGTAAGAGTATTCCTATTTTTAGCATGAAATATTAACTGTATAAGTTGAGATATTACAAAATTAGTTATTTTAATTAATTAAGATCACTTTACAGAACTAAATTAATATTACACTTAGTCAAATACTACAAGTAATAAGAAAGCTTAAATTTATTTTACACTTTTAAAGATTAGGATTGATTTAAAGTAAGAAATTAGTATCATTAATTAAGAAGTAATCAGAATAGCCGAAGAATATCTTTGATCAATAAATTATATAAATATCTGAGAGTTAAGTTTTAATTGATAAATAATTGACAACAATAAACTGGAATTAGAAAGTATTCTGTTTATTAAAACTTTTTAAATTCTAAAATATATTAATTTAATTAAACATTTATCATTCTTATTCTTGTAATTTATTAAAATTAACAAATATTGAAAATATTTTAATTAAAGTTATTTAACAATAAGATTAACAGTTTAAAATTTTATAATATAGCCTAATTTATTTGAGGAACAATTTTAATTTGTTCTACTTTAAATTATAGAAATTTATACATGATTTTTTAATTTAAATTTAATTTATTTTTTGTGTTAAAAAACACAAAATTCAATATGCAATGAACAGTCAATAAATTACGAAATATATGTTATAACTGCTATATCTTTGCTCTGATAAACACACTTCTATAACAACACCTTCGAATTACTGTACTGTATATCCTCTCAGCAATTACATACTTCTGAAAAACAATAGTACGTTTTATAGAAACGATTCTTTAAGCAATTTCTTGTGACTGTTCTTAGCGATATGTGATAGCTGTTTTGACTCTGTTAGCTGTCTCAAATCGCCACCCCTCTAAGTTTGGGAGATTAGAACTTTAGGAAACAGATAAAAGTTAACAGG